AAAAATAATCTAATAAATTTCCTAATAAAATCTTTGACGTCATTTGAAAAAAAAATTAATTGATCGAGAGGAAAATGTAACAATAATAATAAAAATTCATAAAAGTGATTGATTTTTTATATATATAATTTTTTTCAAATATAAAAATAATCAAGATGAAAAAATAGTATAATAATTTATAACCCATATAAAATAATGAAAATTTTATTAAGAATTTTTATGTCAAAAAAAAAATTTGACGTCATACCACATAAAATTTCCTAATAAAATTATGTAAATTATATTCAGAAATTTGTCGCGGAAAAATAATAAAAATTAATAAAATAATTGATTTTTTTTCAAAAAAGACGAGTTATATGTCTCTTTTTAGTATACACGTTTGACGTACGTTTAACTATTTTCGCTATTCATTTAGATCATTCAATTTGTTTATGATATAATTCTCAAAATGAGAAGATTTATGGATATAACTAGCGCATAATCATCGAAATTTTTTTAAAGTTAGCTTGTTATCGAAATTCTCGAAATATTAATTTTGAATAGCTTATTTTGACGCGTCGTAACATTTGCTATGATTAGTCATTTCTCACAACATTAAGGATGTGAAATACTAGGTCGTGAGTGCTTCAAAATGATATTAAGAATGTAATATTTCAACTTCGTTTGATATTTCATAGTAAGCCTGAGTACTATGATTAAAAAAAAAAAGGAAAAAGGAGTTTGAAAAAATTGCAGGGTCAAGTGACCCTAGGAACCGTCCGCACCTGACTTTAAACTTCCATGGTAATTTTTAAAATTCTCACTTTTTCCCAAAGTTTCATTAATAATCTTTTCAACCCATAACTTTATTCCAATTTCCTTAAAAATCTTAAAATATTTCTAAAAATCATTGAAACTTTTTAAAAAATCTTAGATGTTCGTATATCTAAGGAGAAGTCCTTGATATCGAAACAACTTGTTTTGAATTTTTTAAAAGCTTTGTCATCCGTAATTATGGAACATTGCAATTCTTTTCGAACTATTAAGTACATATTATTCGATTTGTAATTGACCCGTTAAAGACGTATGCAAAATCAAATTTACTACATCAACGATAATAGATGTCATCGAATCACATTCTAATTTTATTTCTAGTTTAGATTTACGTTAAATTAACAAGTTACACAAGCAATTTTAATGCTATTAGAGTGTGTTTGGCCGTACTTTAAAATTACTTATTTTGTTAAATATAAATGTTGAAGTTGTTCATTTAATTAATAAAATTTATTCTTTTAGGAAAAAGTATATCATAATTTATTTTTTAGTCTTTAGGGCATCTTCAATAGCGAACCACACCCCCTCCCCCAAAATAAAAATAAAAATAAAATCATAAAATAAATAAATAAAAATGTACCAAAAAATGGTGCAAACCTCTCCCAACTATGCGCCATTTTGGTGCAATGCAACGCTATTTGTTTGTACCACGTGCGAAATGATGCAAAGGAAATTTGTACTATTTAGATCTTTATTTTTGGTATAGAACAATTTTTGTGTGTGTACGCGCGCGTTAGTTTTTGTTATACAATAAATTTTAATTATTATTGTTGCTGTTATTATTATTACTACTATTGTTGGCCTAAACTCTAAATTTTAATCATGTAAATAATAATAATTAAGAAAAAACTAAAATAAAAGCACTCAATAAATTTAAAAAGATAACAAAAACTATTATTAAAATGAAGACAAAAATATCACATCAACCACTTGATACCAACATTCTAGAATATTTAAGAAAAACAATATATAAAACAGGCCAATAATAATATGGCAGTCAATAATTTATTATGAATTCAATATTTTCATTAACTAAACGTAATTAATAATTTATGTATTTATAAAATAAATAATTAAATAATTTTTAAACTAAATAAATTGTTAAGAACTAAAAAAATGAAGAAAATGACGAAACATAATTTATTTGGTGTAACTTTTGGTATTTTGAGTTGAAGATAATTTTCAATTTAGTGTAAAATCGACCCCAAATTTTGATGCAATGATTGAGATGGCCTTACAAGAAGATAATTTTTGAAAATATAAAAAATATTTTTTTGTAGGTGATTAAATTTTTTTTTTAAAAAAAGGGTAGGAAAAAATGTTAAAAATGATTTTGAAAAATTAATTTTAAATAAGTGTTTAAAATTGTTCCGAGAGAGAACAAAAAAGAGAAGGGCAAAGGCTCGTGAGCCAAAACCATAAAACTCTCATTCGCTGCCTCCATTCTCATCACTGTCTGTCAAAGCATGGTAATATCTATTTCTTTTCTCTGTGAATGTATATATTCTAATTTTTAATGGATGGCGATCTACTACGATTTTATTTCCGACGGATTTGATTCTGTAAATTCAATTTTAGAAGATAAAAAAATTACGGCATGATTATTTTTGGTTGAGAAAATTAGAAATTGTGGGTTTATTACGAAAGCTGGCAATTATAAAGAAGGAATGAATCTTGTGATTTAATCTAATTGTTTTTGTATCTCTATTTGAATGCCTATAGATTGTCTAAAAGGATCTTCAAGGATTTTCATGGTTAAATAATTGATAGATCATCAAACTTTGTTGCTTTCTTTATTTACATTGCCTTTATGTGCATATATTCAGTCGTAGATGCGTTATTCAGTACTGATGGGGGATGGGTGGGGATTTAGATGTTAATAAAAGGAATAAGAGAAACTAGAAATGTACTGTAATTTTAAGTTTATAACCATGTTATTTTTATTTAAACTGCCTGAATTAATGACCCTTTGAGGCTTACATCTAATATCCATAAAATGTAAAAAAATTAGAAATGTAAGCAATATCAGTTATGTATAAGGTGCAAAAGGGAAGCCGGTCTGTCTCTGGATGAATTGAAAAGTTATTCTGATATCAAGTTTCAGTGGGTTAAATCCTGCCTTTGGTCATGGTTTAGAAGACGAACTGTGGGATTGTAAGGCTGGCTCACAATAATACTCTTCAATGAATCTTTGAAATTCTACTACACAACAAAAGGTTTCATTGCTCCAGTTCATGTGGTATGGTTGTGCAGGTGTATGTACTTTGTAATTTGTATATTCTGTTTGGATTGCCAAACAATAGAGTTTAGAGTTATAATTCTGTCCACGTTCTCGGTGTTATTCTATCTGACCTTTTGTTATCTTTCTTATATTTTCCTTAGGTGCGCTTACAACCCGATCCCTTCCTCAATGAACTCACTAACATGTTTGAGCGGACTACTGAGAAGGGCTCTGTTTGGGTTACACTCAAGCACTGTAATTTCCCTCTATTAACTTTCTAAATGGTTTTTAACCGCTTGATGAATACCCTCTTGGTATGAAAATGTTCAGATGGAATGCCGTCGGGTTGAATATTTCTCAAAATCTTGATTGTACTTTTTTTTAATCATTTGCAGCTTCAGACAAGTCTAAGGTGCAGAGGAATAAAATGAAAACATGTGGGGAAAAGATTGAGTACAGATGCCTCGTTCGAGCAACTGATGGCAAGAAGACCATATCCACTCTGGCAAGTATTCCAGCATTATTTTCTTCATGCTTGCTGAATTGAATTGGTTTGTAAAGTTCTCCTTCCCCACCCCAAGGTTTTTCGGACTGCTATTCACGCTAGTGGGGAGTATCTCTTGCTGACATTCTTTAAGATCTATTTGATTTAAGCAATGCACCGTCACTGTTACGTGGTGTCATGCAAGCCGACATGCTATTTTTTTGAAAAAGCATTGACACAATACGTGGTTAAATTCATTAAAAATTTTCATTTATATAGAATAAATTATTTTTATACTTGTTATTAATTTTCTTATTGAAATATTTTAAATAAGAGTACCTATTTTTTATTTAATAATAACTTTGAGTTGAACATATATAATATTTTTTGATAAAGAAATAAAAAAAATCATGGTAGAGTGTCCGAGGAGTATCATGCATGTCCGGATGGACACGGACACAACACCTTAGTTGAAGTGTCCTTGCAACACGGGATTTAAGTTACAATAGTGGTCAGCAGTCACTATACGTTTATATTTCTCTGTATGCAAGAGATGCTAGTTTATGAAACAGCAAATAAGTTAATTTAACTGGAAAAAACAATAGTTTGAATCTCATAATTTATGTGGTAGAAATCAACAGCCAGGCATCAACATTATTAAAGGCACTTCATTTGTAAGCTATGTGACCAAATCTGCCTGAAATTATATTTAGCTGATTTGAGAGTTTGTTAGGGCTAATCTGTTAATAGTTAGGAATTATATTATGTAGTTATACAAATTTATTTGTCATCATATAACATCTTATTAAAAGAAAATGTCAGACGTGCTTATCAGGAATGTATAGTCTTTAACTACTTGATTTCTCTTATAATGTCTATAAACTGTCAAATGTGTAAGTAGAAACTGCAAATCTGTTTTCGGTTGTTCGTCTGCAGCCTATAGCTCAGTTGTTGTATCATCTGCATTCATATAATGATCCTAATTAGTTATTTCAAGGTCCCTTTGAGTGGGCCAAACATACAATAAGTTGATACATAATCTCTTTTAATCTAACTGCATTGTAGTCCTTTAACTACTTGATTTCTCTTATAATGTCTATAAACTGTCAAATGTGTAAGTAGAAACTGCAAATCTGTTTTCGGTTGTTCGTCTGCAGCCTATAGCTCAGTTGTTGTATCATCTGCATTCATATAATGATCCTAATTAGTTATTTCAAGGTCCCTTTGAGTGGGCCAAACATACAATAAGTTGATACATAATCTCTTTTAATCTAACTGCATTGTAGTTAAGGCCCTGTTTGGTAGAAGTTAAAATCCATATTTTATCTAGCCCCTGTTTGACAACCATTATTTGAAAACTCTTCGTTCCACTGCTCATTTTCAACCACATATTCATACAATAAAATATTTTGCACGTAAATATTTTCATAGCATTTTATTTTGTATTTATTTAGTTTCATAGTAATTATTTTCATGTGCCAGTATTTTCTTATTCTGGCAAATTTGGGTTAGTTTGAGGAATTGCTACACTATTGTGTTCTCATAGGCTACATCGGTTGACCCATCATTTCATTCAATTCCACCTAAACAAGATTTAGGAAGAGGAGTGCATTAGTTGTGGGATTTGATGGATAAAGAAATAAATGTAGGCAACTAGTGGCATTCATGCGCAAAGCCTTCTTGCACTTAGCCCAACTTTTAAGATTTTAAGTGAAATTGCGGAAATGAGTATTCTAAAATATATGTGTGATCATGTTATAATGGATAAGATAAGAAATAAGAAAATATGTAACCAAGTGGATGTGTCATCATGAGAATAAATTAAGGGAATGCCAATTTAGGTGGTTGAGACTGTGTTTTGTAGACCTAAAAGATATTCTCATAAATAAGATTGAAATTGTCTCCGTAGAAGAAGTCAAAAGGAGGGGTAGTATGTTTTAGTTGCAAATGACCAATTACTGATTCGCTATAAAATAAAAATGTTGGGATAGAGAAAAATTATTACTTTAGAGGATATTAAGTTTTCAATAGATTACGAAGTCATTTCGAGTTAGCACTAAAAAATATGATTTATGTCGAGCACCTCTTCAATTATCCTAATGAAAATAATATGATGATTGAATAATTAACTAACAAAGAAATTATTCAAGAGCTATTGAATATGGCTATTGATGGTATTCATGATTTAAGCGATGGCTATGTTTTACCCGATTGTTTATCGAAAATAAATCTTTCAAATATCGTAACCTTAAATAATCTCTAAAAATAAGAAAATTAAACTAATTGTGCTATGTTCATTGCAAAAAATTAAGGATGAAGCAGAGTTCAATTTGAGTACAAATAAAAAGCAAGCAAATTTAGATGCATATTTTCAGAAAAATACAAGTGTAAGTAAAAAATTTCTTAATGCGTCAAAATTTTTTACGTATTTAATCAATTATTAATATGTTATGCATTTAGCAATTTTATTGCATAAATATACATGCTCGGGTCGGAATCGAGAAATTTTATTATTTAAGTGAGGTTATTAATTTGTCAAACATTTGTTTATCAAGGTTTTACTATAGTTGCTTTAGATCTTCAAGAGTTCTAGCGTGAATCAAATGAAGCGGCAGATAAAGATTCATGTAGCGAGCCTCTAATTATTGTGAATACGGACTAGTTTGTTGTTGCTGATGTAATGATATTTCATGAAAAACTACACTCACTTCCTAATCAATGTATCTGTAATTAGTTTGTTCTGCTATTCTACATGGCATTAAAGAGGTAAAATGCACGAGTTGAGTATCTGTTGGCTATGATGACTCGAGTACAAGTATAGGGTATAATTACGTATCTATGTCTCGAATTTTTTATTTTTTAAAATGTAGGACATATGTATATGGTTAAAAAGAGTTTAAATTTCAGATACGGGTGGGTACGTCTTTCAAGTTTCAATTTTTTTTACTAATCTAAAATGTCATTTTGAATAGATCAAAATCAATTTGCTCACAAAGAAGGAAATGAGTATTAAATAAGGGGTTAAGACGAATAAAATAGTATTTTGGGATTTAGTTATCAATTATGGGAAGTTAACTACTAAATGTTATATAAAATAGAAAATGAGGAATTTGATTGCAATTTAGACTTAAAGGAATACTAAGTAGCACTTTATGAAATCCATTTTCATTTCATACAAACAAAGCCCTAAACCACCAATGCAAAGAGGGAAGGAAGGAAAAAAGAAGGAAGAAAAGGGAAAGAAAAAAGAAAAAAAAGAAGGGAAAATCTAGTACCGTCGCCTTTTACCACCCCATCAGAGGCGGTGCTAGGTTTATAGAGAGCAAAAATAGGAAAGAAAAGGAAAAGAGAAAAAAAGAAGAGAGAAGAAAAAGGAAGAAGATGCAGAAATGGCGAAGCATCCAATTGAAACTTGAAGGATTTGACACATATTCCATACTCATATCCATGTCGTGTCATGTCGTCCGACACAGGTGCTCCGACCATTTCGAAGAGTTCAAGCATCAAAGTCCGTTAGGTTTTTTACTTTTGAGAAGATCGAATAAACTTTTCTACGTAGGGAGGAGCAAGCAGAAATTCACTGGTTGAGCTTCAGACAGGATATGACGAGCTTTGATGTTATTTAATAAGCCCCCGTTTGGCCCTCATTAATTTCGATTATAATAGGGGGAATAGTGGCTTTTTTGATAAATTGATGGTTGTAAAAGAATGAAAAGTTTTCGATTTATGTGTAATAATATTTTATTGAAGATTGTATGGTTGAAAATAGGAGAGAAAAATTTAATTTAATTTGATGAGAAGTAATGGGGGCCAAATGGGGGGCTTAAGTCTTTTATGAATCTGGAGGTGAGAAGTACACAAACTTCTCACCCAGAACAAAGACTCGGCATAACTATCCTATAGTGGAGTTGTATTAATCAATCACACAACTCTCTGTTGGAGTTTTCACAATAATTCCTTAGCAATCAAACAGAGATAGTCAATGGTTCATGATGCATAACTGCAGAAGCTAAGGCCTAAGGGGAGAACTTTTTCTGTAGAGCAAGTTGTCATGGTCGTTTAATGTATATCGATGGTTTTAAGGTTCTGAGTTCATCAAACAAAGGAAAAATTATGCATGGTGTATGTACTACAAGTTGAAAAATGTGCCAGGGAAATTATGAGGCCTTCCCTTTCAGAAAAATATATCTTTTCGCTCTGAATGCTACCTACCAAGTTCTGGATTTCAATTTATAAGAATTGCTCTATTCTGTTCTACTTTATTGTTTCCACCTTAGTGAGACGATTTTCTCTCATTAGTTCTTTTATAAAATTTTGAATTATCTTGCTTAAGATTTTTAGACAATTGGGTTTTTTCTTTTGAAGCCAAAAGGACTTATATATGCATTTGATGCATGAAAAGTGTAGAATGTTTTGGTACACCATTTTTTTAATTTTAGAAATGTTACCGCGTCTAATCCTACTTGTGGAACCTAGCAAACTGAGCTGCTTGCCATTTAACCCCCGTGAGCCACATTATTGTAAAAATGAGAATGAAAAATATAGTCGTTATGGGCTCCATATGAGATAAAAAGTCAAATATGGTGGCTTAATGTGATAGATAACGATCATATTTTTCATTTTAATGAGGAAATAATGGGGTCCAATTAGGGCCTTAGGATATGCTTTAAAGATGTTATACACAGAATCATGTCTTGTTTATGACTACTGGATTATAGTAGTAATTTGGCTATTGGGCCATGATAGAAAGTGGTGTCTGCAGCCAGAAGATAGGACTTATAGAATATGACTTGTTCTGGTACAATATGACCAAAGTGTTGAAGTACCATAGCCAGGAAATCAAATGTCTATCCCCAGATTATACAGCACTTTGTTTTATTTGTAATGGACTATTTTCACAAAATATTGGTCAATTTCCGTTTTTTCATTTTATATCTCGCATGCCAAATGTATAGCAGTCTTCGTAGATTCTATATATTTACCTATAACATTGCTCTGTTTTTTGTTGACAACATAATTGGTTTTCATGGCAATCCTGACATTTCGGTATCATTTTCCTTCTCAGGACACGTGATGCTATATAATTTATTTCATACATCAAGTGCATCTACCTGCTTGTCTATGTTGATTTATGTTTTTCTTACTGTATTCATATTGTTTGTAACAATTAGGAGTTAATTAGCTTCTGGAACTGCTATGTGATTCCCTTGACCTGACTAGCACGTCTTGTTTGATTTGACAACAGGTTGGTCCAAAAGATCACCAGCGCTTTCAAGCTAGCTATGCAACTATCTTGAAAGCCCGGATGACTGCATTAAGGAAGAGGGAGAGGAAGGACAAGAGAAAGGCTGCAGATTCTGATAAGAAAGAGGACTCAAAAATTCGTTCTACAGCTTCTAAGACTACAAATTGAACTAGATTCGCTTGTGTAGTTCTTATCGTTTTGTTTCTTTCAATTAGCCGTATGGTTGTCTATCTTTATATTTTGCCGTTGATTCTACAATTGTTTTATAACTATAAGTTGGCCAAAAGATTTTGTTGACATTAGATATTGAAAGTTTGGTCGAAAGATACACAGATACACTCTATTCTGTTCTTCCGAATATTTTGACGAAATTTTGTATTTTGTACTCGTATATGCTTTCTTTTATCTAAAATGGTTTAACCAAATGCAGTACCTGATGTAGTGCATAACCTCTGCTTATTCTTTAGTTCCTGTATAGTATATGTGCTGTACAGGTCGAAGATCCATTGGATACCAAGATGGCAGTATACATATTCATATTGTGCATCAACTTTTATTAAGTAAAACAGTCGTTATAATTTGAGTTTTAATTGAAAGTTTTACCATATAATTGTGGTTGGGAATACTGTGTTGCATTTCAACTTTTAAAACTCTTACGTGTATTTTGCGAGCAAATAAGTGAGGCAGAATCACAATTTCTTTCATTTCTCAGGACCCGTTGATCAAAAATTGACAGAACTACACCTAGACTTCTCGATTTATACCAATGATACACGAAATGAAATGTGTAGTTTAAAGAATGTAGTAATGGAAATATACAATACATAGACATAGCGAACCTCTTGAATGTGAAGGTTGGAGTGGATGAAAGTTTAGTGACGTTTACTCTTCTTCATCTTCAAGGCCAGGTATGTACTCCAAACTAACATCGAATATAACTGGACTATTAGCAGCCACTCGTGGCCTTCCTGGAGCTGATGTGAGGCCTTTTGGAAAAGCTAACTGATCAAACAGAAAGAAAGGTGTGAAACATTTTGTTTGTGACAAGTAGAATTCCACATTTCCTCTCCATTTACTCGTCAAGAATAAGTCTTTCTAGTAACCTTTTTTGCCCAACACATTTCTACTCACTAAAATTTCTTTGTTATTTTAATTTCGATAATTTACTTTTCTAGATAAAACTTAGCAAAAGAGGTTTTTTCACCTTTTCTTAAGCTTAGCAAAACATGCTCCAAAATGGTTTAAGCTCGGCCAAGAGAACAGAATGATACTGGCAACTTATGCACAGGACCATGTCAACACTAAAAAAGGATTCCATGAACCTACAGTGGGACGTTGATATCCCCATATATAAAAACGTGGGAGAGAAAAACTCTAGGAGAATATGATAGAGAACTGGATTGACAGCTTAACCATCGCACCTGATTAGGGAATCAAAGCGTCGAATATAGTTGGGCCATTGTGTTAGCCTCAATGTCGGCCATTCTATATACATGGTCGATCTTATACAGGAAGTAAGTTGCTAGCTTTTTATAGCCGTATTAACATAAAGAATGCAATTTGAACAGTTATGATTGTTTTACCGCTTAATTTTCAATCTGAGCAAGGATTATGAGAAGAAGACAAAATAAACAAGTTCAACAAGGAAAAAAACAAAATAGAACACCTTGAGAATTGATAAATCAAATTCATCAAATTGATAACATTTTGATTAAAACATATTGTAAAACTTTTTATAGGCCAAAATTTTTGTACTTCAAGCACTATACTGAGAGATATAGGGCTATTGTTTTGTCTGGTTTTTTTCCTTGAAAAGACTTGGTCAGGTATATATATCTAGGTTCCTTAGAATCTTGATGATATACTAAAGTGTGATTATCAAATTCTAATTTCATGCAGGAAACCTCTACATTTGAGTGGAGAAAGATACATAATTGTAGCTGAAGCACTTACTGGTCCTGGAATGTAGAGTCGACGTTTTCCTCCAACTTTCATGCTCAGGATCCCTTCATCCAGTCCCTTGATCACCTATTCTAGTCATTTTAGTGTAGATCATTCATTATGTTCAAAATCATCGAAAATGACAAATAGATGCCAACAGAAAACTTTTGCTCAACCCTAGTTTTCCACATAGAAGATCTAGAAATTTCAAAACATATCCAGGTTAAGTACTTTCCGTCGCAGATTAATTTTTTGAGGTCTTTCAGATTCATTAATATGAAAAACACAACCAAATAGCACCATCAATAATCTGGGGAAATTCTTTGATCTCCATTTTAAAAATATAAAAAACATCAGAGGCACATGAGTTGGGAAAGATTGAGGAGGCAGATATATAAATTAGAAGAAAAGAAATAAAAAAAGGGAGCAGAGTGCATTCCTGAATAATAAAACATATTTAGTTGTAGCTTATATTTACATCCTTACAGAATTTGCAGCTATATTATCTTGAAATTCTAGATTCAGCTGGGACACACTTGTAGAGTTTACCTGACCAGAGCCGACTCGGAAAATGTAAACCTGGCCTTTCTCCAGTGAACTGTGAAATTGAAATGGAAAAGAAAAAGAAAAATAGAAATAGAGTTCAGGATAAGAGGAATCAGGATCATATGTGACATCTAAATCAATCTGGGTAGTATGTGTCTATGAGTGTAATTTGTTCAACATTGAATATACTTATATGTGGATCTACACATCCGAATAATTGTTTTCTCTTTCTTGTGACATGTTATCTCTTTATAGATTAGTGCTAATAGCTCCTTAAAATACAAAACTCAACTATTTTTCCATATTACCCATAAAAAATAAAAATGATAGAAGTGTTCTCGTTGTAGGAAATTTCAAAATGGAAAAGAGAACAAATGAATAATAAATTTCCAAAAAGTTGCTATAGGATGCAACAAACAAGAACGAGACTTGAGAAGAAAGAGGAAGGGAGGGAAGACGAGAGAAGAAAGGGGAGAGAATTTCAAAGGGAGAAAATATGATTTTATTCAACAATTAAATTTAAGTATTACAATGAATGGATAAGCTTTACAGAGCCTGAGGAGTGTATTCAATTAGGACTTTTAAAACTTTTGAGGATTTAAAAAGTTTAAATGTATTCAATTGAGACTTCTAAAGACTCTCTAGAAGTTTAGGTGTATTCAATTGAGATTTCTATAGAATGTTAAAAAATCTCTAAAAGTCACATGGTATTCAATTGAAACTTTTTAAAAGTTTCTACAAGTCATGAGGTATTTAAATAGACATTGACTTTTGAAGAATTCTTTATTTACCGAACTTTTGGAGACTTTTTGGTGAAAAATATAAATAGCAAATCTCAAAGAAAAGCTCTTATATGCTCTGAGATTTGTGAAGATTTTAGAGCCCCAAAAATGTCTTTTTTATTTCAATTCTAGGATTTTCTCATATCTCTTCAATTCATATCCTGTAATCAATTTAGGATTATTCTATTTGTATATAATTACTCTTAAATTGAAATTATATGCAATTGTTTCAAAGTGTAGAATTACATGTGATCGATCTCTCTTTTTTTTTTTTTTTCTTTCTTTTTAAAGAACAATCTATGTTCTTAGAAATTAAGTTAGTTTCGTGAATTTTTTTGGTTATGTTCTTAGAAATTGATGTAAAAGTTTTTTATTATTCTACTTGTGCCAAAATTGAACAACTAGGCCGTGACTAATGACTTTACCTAAGGAAATTTTGTGAGCATCAAGTTCTCAAAAATGTTGATTAGATAGTAAGAAAGATTGTAATTTTTCAGTTATATAATGAGTTTGCAAGATAAAAAGTCTTTAAATTGGAAGTTCTTAAAAATCTTCAATCAAAGTCTATAGAAGTTCATGGAAGACTTTTACTAAATTCTTAACAAATCCATTAAAGTCACTTAAAAATCCATAAAATTCGCAAAAGTCGCCCACTTAAAAGGTCTATAAAAGTCTTTAAAAATTTCAATTGAGTACACCCCCTAAGTAAACCTAATTTGAGAAGGAAATAAAACCTAAATATTTAAGTCAAACTAGACAATCTAAAAAACAAAACCCTAATTCTAGTCAAACTAGAAAACAATAATAAACTAAAGAAGCTAATCTAAATTACACCCTGGTTATTCCTACTCTACCAAGGATATTCTCATCTTCATTCCCCAAAAATAGCACTAACGCAAAATATTACTGCGCATGTAAGATAAGTTGTGTAAGATCATTACCTGTCAAATATTTGTCCGGAGGGAACCATGGCAACATAATTTGCGGCAACCTGTTAAGTTGCATACGAAATGTATTATGGAGGATTAAGAACATTCTTCCATTGGGTTGCATTTATAGGGAATGGGAAAGGAAATCGAAATAGGGAAAAATGATTTCCCTAACTTCTCCTTCCTATAATCACATTGAAAGATTTTCGGCATAGATAACCATCATGAAATTTGATAGGAAAATACACAACACTTTTGTCGTATGATGTAGTAAGGAGAGAAGATGGGTGCTCTCAAAACTTTTTTATATCTGCAAAAAGGAAAACCTGGATAATAATATTTCCTTCTAAAATTTCAAGTTAATCAGAGCCTATAACGCTGAATTATGATTTCCCTAAGAGTTTAAAGCCCGTTATGATGCTAAACCTTATGTGAGGAACCAAAAGGACCCGTTATTCTACTTAATATTAAGCTTACTCGAGTGATTCAGTTTGCAATTTTCGTTTTAAATAATCCAATAACAACAATTGTAATTGACAGACTTTACAGTTCTAGCTAGCTGAGAAACTATTACTGAATAATCTTAAGTGGAAAACAACAACTCTCTTTATTGACACACAGCATTGTGATCACAATACAAAAATATTTTAAGGACAGAATTAAGAGCTGCTTTGAATTATCAATACATGGAAAAGGAAAATAATATTAAGGAGGCGTGTGAGTGGAGGCTCATCTGAAATTTAAAATGAAGACAATGAATGGGACATAAAAGACTGGTGACAGATGGACCAGTTGATTTGAGCATTTAACGAAAAATGTTAATTTCTTTCCATTACCGAAGATTTATATCAGCAAGAGTATGGGCCAATGTTCACTGAGAGTAAATTACTATTTTCAAAAGTTGTCCAGCATGACACTCGTAAAACTGCAGATAGGATAACAAATTGTTTGTAATGCTGTTTCAAGTATTAGGTATAACATACTGTAAGCATAATGCATTATGTCCTGCTAATGCTTCCATTCTATGAACTACCTACATTTGATTTCTCTGGAGGATGGAATAAGAAAGGAATGATAAAGTGGATCCATTGAACCTATATATTTATTATTGTGTGCATGTGGGTGTAGGTGTGTACAGACATGTAAACAAATATTAGAGTTATAAAAGAAGTAACATTTTTAGTTTAATAGGAATGTACCTGAAATCCAACTGGAGGGCTTGGTCCTCTACCAACTTTGATATCCTTGTACTGCAAGCCAGACTCAGTACTTACCATAGGTACCTTCAGTGATAGAAAATTTCAGATATTAGCCTAACGGATTGTTTTCAGATCAACCAACTCTAGGGGTAAATTTCTTTTGAATCATTTTTACGGCATGTAGATGCTTCAAGATTGTTTTAACCATTAAAAAAAAGGAAGGTTCAACATTCACTAGACCACCTCAGATGGACTGAAAAATTTTCTAGTTGGAATTCTTTATTCTCTCTTAGCGGCAAAATGGTTCTCAATATGTTAAATACTTAAGTAAAATATTACATCATTGTGTTCTGATCCAGTTAGACCAAGAGAAATCCTGAAAAACTATGGATTAACGATCTTAATCCTAAATTATGCAAAATATAAAAGTCCTCTTCTATCATAAATTTTAGTAGACTGGAAGGTTAGAGACCTTCTTGGTTTTAAAAACTCATTAATTAATCCGTATTGTGTTATAATCCAGTTAGACCAAGAGAGGTCCAGGAAAACTATGGACCGACCATCTTTGCCAAAAATGTGCAAAATAGAGAAGTCCTCTATCACGAATTTAGTAGAGTGGAAGGTTTGAGACCTGTTTTGGCTTTGAAATTAATTAACCTGAAGTAAATGTCACAATATAAAAATATAAAACATACACGTGGAAGCACAATGGAAAATTCCAACTGAATAGTGTTAAGTATTGCGTAGCAAACAAATATGTTTTCGAGACCTTATGGCACGAAGATCTTGATAATGATTGGTTTAGAGTTGGGTTCAAATTTAATAACAATGCTGATAAACAAGAATCAGTGTACCAATGCAGATAGTTGATATCAGCTTGGGGAACCTCATGCCCTCTATGTCCACCACTCTATAGGGAGAGTTTGAAGTGAATTTTGAAGCCACAATTAGAATTTGACTTCAGCATAATGATATTTAATATTTTACATCGTTGCAAACAATTCATTAAACCTATGATTAAATATGTCCCATTTCTTTTATATCTGAGCCTAGTTATGAGTGACCAAATAAGTACATTAAGCAGCTCACATAAATCTCAGCATCAGTTGATGGTCAATGAGATGAACGCGCATTGACCATTATATTTAACTGTGCATAATTCTAAATAATATCTCTAAATCAGGTGAAGCTCATAAAGGTAAAAATAGAAAGCCTGCAGAGACCTATTCCTAAGAGGATATGTTGAGATCTTGAAGGGATGAATAAGGTCGACTTTGATGATCTAACATTTAAGATTCTCTTACTGACAAGGGAAAGGTAAACTAAATATAAAACCAGCATGATGTGGAAAATCCGAAATTATAGTTCAAGATCTCAATAAGCTGTATTTGTTACAGGTTCTGAACAACAAGTACAACTAATGCAAAATTTTCACATCTCTTCCATCATGCTCTTGCATCAAATCAAATTATTGTTGGTTTATCGCTCATATTAGGCTCAAACGTACCAATAAGTCGATTTCAATTCTGACTAAATTTTACTTACCCAGAGAAAAAATTGAAATGGAAGTATTATATAGCAAAGAAAGTACAAAAATATGAATTCTTTCTTGTTGGAGTAAAAGCAATGATATTTCCCAATATCATGCTAAGAATAGTTAGGACTTAAAAAGATGCCATTCATTTGATGAGAACTAAAAAGAAATATCGAAAATTCGAGTGACTAAAGCTGAATTAGCTACTTTCGAAGTAATAGAAAGAAAAGCAATGATTGGAGTGGTAGAATCATAGTCGAAAAGAGGTTTCCTCACTTCTTTCTTCTTTAAATAATTAGCTTTCATTTCTACACTTATGGCGGAGAACTTGAATGCATAAAAGGCAAGAGTTAAACCAGTAAATTAAGGCATTGAATGACCACAATAGCGTCAGTCAATCCTTCAGGAGAAGGACTTGGATATCAATCTTTCACAAATTTTGGTAGTCTTGTGAGTCAATCCACATGTTATGAAACATGAACTATACTTGTCACAAAATATTTTATTTTTTCTTTAAGATATGAGAGTGCAATAGGATTCCTATGAATAAAAGACCAAAGAACTGTCAATGATGAAATGTAAATGGTGAGGGAATTATGTAAGCTCACCATACATTTTCTATCTCTTTCTCACAGTCATCATCGCACAACCTTGATTTTTGCTCTGGGGGTAATCCAGCTGCTTTTGCAGAAGATGAGCCTAGCAGAAGGCCTGACAGGCCAAAACCTAATCCAATTATGTCTCTACGCTTCACAAATTCCCACTCCTTTATGTGATCGATAGTCTTTGAAGCTTGCAGCCTAGATTCTGAACTTGAGCACTGTATCATAAAACCTTCAATGCTGATTTTTCGAACTGTTTGATGACGCCCAGATAAGCATTTGGAAAATGAAGAACCTTAACTCAGAAAATCAAATATTTAGGGAAAAATATACATGATTAATCAAAACAACTAGTTCATATCATTGAACTTCACACGAGGTTTTATCATCAGTTATCCTGGAAAGAAAATGATTGGAATTTCAAATTCTTAATGAGATATGCAATATGCTGTTCCCAAAGAACAGCAGTCATGACATGTATGAACACATATAACAGAAGTGATGATGCCATAACATAAATCAGATGCTATCAAAGTGAGCATGCACGAATAAAAAGTATATCAAGAATTAATTTTAGCTTATAACTATGAAGTAGTTTGCAGAAGTTCTGAATTACAGAGGCAGTAGCATTGTCCATTACAGGGTCTTATATTTACAAAAGCAGAAATATAGTTTTCCAGCACCTAAAAATCATCTCATAGTGACTGTTGGTTTGTCATTCTGTAGTGTCATTCTTTGATTGTTGACATTCATAATCTTTTATTACCAATATTTAATATAAATTGCACTCTATTACAAATCTCTACATTGTATCAAATATATTTTAACTGTGAATTTTTTGGTAACAGGATTCTCGACTTCGGAATATAAATTAGGCAGACTATATTCAGGTGAGAATTTGACTTCTGCTGCACTGCCAGATATAAAGTTTGATTGGGAAAAAAAAGGGGGGTCATATCTCACAAATACAAATCCTCAGTTTGAACTATTGGAAACAATAATAACACGAAACGCAAACCAAAAGCATGTAAAAACACAATTCCCTTTCGATGCAAGAGCCACTTCCACACTCCAACACAACACCCACGATTCTTACATAATTATAATTTAATTTATATGAAAATAATTGTAGCATATCAAGTAAAAAATGCAGAAATCTGAAAACCAAAGAAGAGTGTGTGTATGAATGTGTTCTGACCGAATGGAAGAAGCAATGATGCTGACGCCATTTTTCTTCTTCAATTTGCTTCGTTTTTCCGCGAGCATTCTGTTATCAGTCGTTTGAATTTATATGGATAACGATATCAATGAATCAGGCGTTAATTTTAATTTTGGTAGCTAAACCTTAAATAAAATCTCAATTGGGTCACTTAACTTTAGTTTATAGCAATCAGACCACTAAACTTTTAATATATTATCAATTTTAATCACTCCTTTAGTCCTATTAACGTCACAGCACTCCGTTATTCTCTGTTTCTAGGTATGTATACCACCCAATCATGTTGTACCTCCAAAATCTTGAAATTGTGATCGATTAAAGTTTTGAATATGCTCCGACGAATTACCATCAATTTTGAAACATTTCATTTTTAAATTCAATAATCATAACATGATTATGTGTTATATTTCAACCTCCTAAAAAGTAGAATAAAAAAAGTGAAATATGGACTTTTTTCCACCGTTAAAAATGAATTCAGAGTTAAATGTTTCGCTAGTTAACGAATTTATGCCATAGTCACTAAATTTTAAAGTACTTCACAATACTCATTATTGAAACTCCTTAAAATTTGGTGAGTACTCCACGACCATGATATAAATTGGTGATTATTGAAACAATTAACTGTATGAATTTATGGGTGACCTTGTGTGTGAATATTTTAGAGAGCTTTTGAATTTTTAAAGTGGCAAATTGTGCTAATAAACTTCTTTTCAGGCACGTAGAGCTTAGTTAACAAATAAACAAACAAAATTTCGTCGAAAATCTTAAAAAGTTAACTGGACTCTCAAAAAATATGTAAACACAAAATTTATGAATTATACTTTAGTGTCAGATGTTTTAACATAATGTCACATGACATTTCATTATTAGACTGTTCTAAATAATTTTTATTTTATTTTATCAAATCATCTGTTGTCACCTCAAATTATGTCATTGCATTTGTTAAATTTCTTCAGACAAATTAGCAAAATTCAACATCTATAAAGTTTAAAAATATTTGATCGATAAAGCTTTCTAACATGATAAGGTTAGGGGAGATTCGAAATTAGTCGAAACTGCTACTACCAATAGCATGCAAAAAACTATTCAAACTTTCTAAAATTATGACTTTGCGTTTGCTTTATAATTTCAGAACGTGCATTTTGGACATGTGCGATATCGAATTGTGGATGACCTCAATACTTTCAAGACATTGATCGTGTCATGTGTACTGCAAATTCCAATTTTATATTTTTTTTATATTTCAAATTTAAATAATATATATAAATAAATAAATGGATGCAAAAAATGCTGATTTTTAATCTGAACAGTCCCATCCTCTATTCGAGAATCTTCAACTCCATCCCTGTCTAGTCCCATCCCATCCCCTCCTCTCACCTGCTGCTGCCATTGTTAATGTGGTTAAAGATGCAAAGCGCCCATATTTAAAAGGTTATGCCTTTATTTGATTGGGAATTAAAATTAAATTTTTAGTGATTTTTGATAAATATTAATGAATTAAGTAATTGAAAAATTGTGAATCTCATAAAATATATGGTTAATATTAACTTGAAATTAACTTCTAATTTTAATTTTTACTAAATGACGACTATGATATATTTAGAGTTAATTGTTTCAATAATCATTCAATGGTCATGGTTTACTAACTAAATTTCAAAATGTTTCACAGTGCTCACTGAATTTTGCCCGTTTGTGCTATATCCATCACCCTAAAAAAATTGATACCTTGTTTGCTGACGCGACTAAAGGGCAATTAAAAAAATTACAATTCAGTCAAACCATTGTTTCATTATTAATCCAACCTACACTATATCACAATTTACCCATCGAATTTCAAAATGTTTCCAATGGTTGCTCATCTTTGAGATGTTGCACTCCATCCATTATCCGCCATTTCGTTTATTTCGTTGCAAATTTATTGTATTAAAATTTCTTGAATAAGTACAATTATTAAAAAGTTACAATTTAACCATCAACTCAAAAAAATCATCATATGTGAAACTCGACTTCCATGCCTCATAAACTTCTTTGAAACCCAATAAAGCGTCCCCAATTTTCAACCCTAATTGCATTATGTTACACTTATTTAGGTTTTTAAATTAGAGTATTTATTGGATATTTTAATAAATTATGGCTTAATTCTATATATATTGTGTTTGTAAGGTAGAAATTGATGGAATTGGAGTTAATGAACTAGAAAAGGGTGAAAAATAGACAAAGTATGATTGAAATAAAAAAAAAAAAAAATGATGGTTGAATATCACATATAATCAATTTGATGCAATTAAAAGTTGAATAGGTGAAATATAGACAAAGCATTTTCACAAATGAATTTCGAACCAAACAAATTATGTTTAAGATTTTTAGCCTCAGGTCGAGACCTATTTTTCCTACAGTAAACGTTCAAATTGGATAAATGATATTTCTAAAAGAATCATTGGAAACGCTTCATTGGATTTTAAAAATGTTTATAGGGCTGTGGAAGTCATGTTTCACATATGGTGATTTTGGTGAGTTGATAGTTTTGTTAAGTTATAATTTTTTTAACATTTATAATTTACCACGAGAAATTCCTACGCGAACATTAGCAACGAAGGAAATGAAATATGACGGACGATAGATGGAATGTAATATCTTAAAGATGAGTGATTATTGGGAAGTATTTTGAATTTTGTGAGTAAATTGTGACCAAGTGTAAGTTGCATGAGAAATGAAACAATAGTTTGGTTGATTTGAAATTTTTTTAACAGTCGTAGGTTGTCAGGTCAGATTTTATGTTAACCATGTTAGCGAATAAAGTAATGAATTTTTTAGGGTGATGAATGAAATGCAAATAGTAGGGATGGCAACCCCCGACCGAGCATTTTCCCGCCCCATTATCCGTTTAATATGGGGTCGGGTTGCCCCGTTTACGTACTCATTTTATTTTTAATTTTTTGTTTGATAATTCATTTTAGTGGTCTATTTATTTAAGTGAGTCAATATTATAGTATTAAAATTTTTAATTAATTAATTTATTTTTAAAAATTAAATTATTCGAATATATTTGGTAAGCTAAGGTTTTTATTGTTTATCATATTCCCTAAATAATTTTTAGTTACCATTTTCTATTAGAATTGATGAAATTTTGTGGAATTTTTCTATTTGATGCTTGTTTGAGCCTCATTATTTCCTAATAATACATTTTAGAATAGGAGAATATATGATAAAAAAATAAGAAAAAAAATTTAAATTTATGAGTAATATCATTTTATTAAAAAATGTGTGGTTAAAAAGAATAGGGAAAAATGTATTTTAAAAATAATAGAAATTCAACGAGTTTAAAGTATTGAATTCATTAAAAAAAAAAATAATAAATTAAATGGGGCGAGGTAAGCCTCCATTTCCCTACTCGCCTCGGATCGAAATTCCCAATCCCATATCCGATCCGATTAAGCGGGTAATCCCCACTCCGAAAGGGAACGGTTCTTATGGATATTCAGTTTGACGAATATTTTTACCATTTCTAACAAATAGATAAGTTCAATGAACATTGTGAAACACTTTAAAATTTAGTGAGCAAATATTTACAATGGTATAAATTGAGTGATTAACTCAAATATTTAGCAAAAAAAAAAAGTAGAGCCACGAATCAAGTGTTCTTGAGTTCTTCCAAACAAGGGGCACCAAGCTGCAAATTCCCCAATTGCAAACAGTAACCCAACAGGGCAACCGGCGAGAACTTT